CTACTACTACTACGGCTACGACTACGACTACTACTACTTACTACTACTATTATTACTATGACTACTACTACTACTACTACTACTACTACTACTACTACTACTACTACTACTACTACTACTACGACGACTACTACTACTACTACAACTAGCACTACTACCACTACTACTACTACTACTACTACTACTCTACTACTACTACTACTACTACTCTACTACTACGACTACTACTACTACTACTACTACTACTACTACTACTACTACTACTACTACTACTACTACTACTACTACTACTACTCCTACTACTACTACTACTACTACTACTACTACTACTACTACTACTACTACTACTACTACTACTACTACTACTACTACTACTACTACCTACTACCTACTACTACTACCTACTACTAATACTACTACGACGACTACTACGACTACGACAACGACTACTACTACTACTACTACTACTACTACTACTACTACTCCTACTACTACTAGTCCTCCTTTCCATGCCGCCCTGTTCAAGTCAAGGATACTGGCCCACCGCCTCGGGAGAAAAACGGAGCGGAGAAGGAGGACTGGACTCAAGCTCCATCCTTCTCAAACTCCTCCTCCTGCTGTTTATCCTCCTTCTCCCTGCCCCACACCTCCTGCTCATCATGATGATGATCACTACCACCAGCATCATAATCATCATCAGCATCAGCATCAGCATCAGCATCAGCATCAACATCATCATCATCAGCATCAGCATCAGCATCAGCATCAGCATCAGCATCAGCATCATCATCATCATCATCATCATCATCATCATCATCATCATCATCATCATCATCATCATCATCATCATCATCATCATCATCTTCATCATCATCATCATCATCATCATCATCGCCATCATAATGAATCCCATTCCCCCTCAATACCGAATTCTAAAGAAGGGGCGCTCGCCAGCCGCCTCGGGAGGAAGGGGGGAGGGCCGCCGCGCCCTTCTCGCAGAAGACTCTCAGAAGTCCCTGAAGGCCTCCAGAGAACTGAGTGCGCAAATCTACCCGCCGTGCGCGATTCTGCCCGCCCAGGCTGGCCAGCTCACCCCCACACATCCACCGCCAAAGTTTGGCCTTGTGCACCGCTTCGGCATCGCGCCCTGGGATCTCGAGAAGCGGTGGATGTGGATGTCTGCCCACCCGCGTGGGCGGACAGATATCCATACCCACCGCCCCCCGAGTCCCTCGGACTTTGAATACCCAACGCGGCAGTGGATATGAATGCTTCCTTGAGGCGCGACAGGCCCCTACACCCGCAGGCGCAGGCGCAGGCGCCAGCCGAGGCTGGCGCATGCCCAGGTTCGCGTACGGGTCTTCGCCGCCCGCCGGCCGCGGAACCGAACCTCGGGATGCCGCCTCGGGGATCGGGAGGGAGCCAGACCTCCGGCGTCCTTCTCCAGCTCCTCGTTCTCCTCCACCTCCTCCTCCTCCTCCTCTTCCTCCTCCTCCTCCTCCTCTTCTTCTTCTTCATACAGTTATTGATATGTTTCTTCATAGTGGTAATAACAATAGAAATGTTCGTATTCGTATGTTTCCTCTTGCGATTAGCATGTAGTCTTCATAATTACAGGATTACGATGATTACGCTGATTAGTATCGTTAATATCAACAAGAATACTACGATATTCGTAGTAGTAGCCTGTTTGTTGGTAGTAGTATGAAAAGTATGAATCGGGACATGTTTAGCCGTAGACTCGTTCTTCGTAGCATGTTTACTTCTATTACTAGTATTACTAGTATTCGTGTTCTTAGCATTCGCAGTATAATCATTAGCACAATAAAGTACAATCAGTTGCCTGATCCTGACTTTTCTTCATAATACGAGTATTAGTATTCGTCGCATTCTTTTAATGAATATCATTTATATATATGTATGTATGTATATATAAATGTATATATACTCTGCAGTGCTAATGTTAGCAGCGTCGTTCTTATTAGTATCAGACGTGTGGTTGGTAGTAGCATGCGTTTTATCATGATGATTACAATTATTTGTAGTAGTGGTATGAGTACGTGTTGTTACAGTTATTTGTATGATTGCTCATATGAGCTTTCGTGTGATTGGTCAAGTTGTTGTTCGTATGCGTACTCGTTTTATTATCCATATTCTTCTTACTGGAAATCCACCGACCCTGTCGGCGTGTGGATTGCGCTGTTCCGTTTGACTTGTCGTCGTCGTCCTCGTCGCCGCCGCCCCTCCCCTTTCCCTGCGCCCGTCGCCTTTCACCCTCTTTCATCGAGCCCTTCTCCTCAGGCAACTCAGCCACGATCAGCAACGTCGTAGTTGAGTCGAAGGGAAGCCTCTTCCCTTTGATACCTTCGCCCCCGGAGGGGGGAGGGGGGTCGCGCGGAGGGTTCCAGGTCAGAATACCACCCCCCCTGGAGGGTGCCCGGGGCCCAAAAACGTCCCAAGACGAGCGAAGAGTGCCCCATGACGCCCCCAAGACGGTCCAAGAGGATCCCGAATCGCCGAACGATCGGTCCCAGACGTCTTTCGTACGGACTCCAGACGGCCCAAGAGGGCTGAAGACGCCCCAAGAGGCCTCGAAGAGCAATCCCAAGAGATCCCAAAGAGGCAAAATTCCCTGATTTGCCTGCAGTGTTTTTAAGAACTTGGGCGTTCTCGCCTTTTCAGCTCCCCGACGCTCCAAGACGGCCCAAGAGGCTTCAACGATCGCCCCAAAAGGACTCCCAGAGGGTCTCGAAACGGGCCAAAGAGGGCCCGAAGACCGCCCAAGACGCCTGCAAGACGGCCCAAGAGGCCCCCAAGAGGGCTCCAAGAGGATGCCCACACAGGGGAACCAGACGGACATTTCGAGCCCTCCGCCCCTAGAGGCTCCCAGGAGGCCCCAAGAAGCACCCAAGAGGCTCCAAGAGGCTCCAAGAGGCCACCAAGAGGCCCCCAGGAAGCCCCAAGAGGCTCCCAAGAGGCTTCCAAGATGCTCCCAAGGGGGCCTCTAAAACTGCACCCCAGAGGCCTCCGAGAGCGCTCCGAAAAGACCCCAAACAGAATCCCTGAGGACTCTGACCCACGTCAGCGTCGTCGTCGTCGTCGTTATCGTCGTTATCATCGTCGTCGTCGCCGTCGTAGTCGTCCCCCTTCAGAGTCGGCGGCACCGGCCGTAAGGCCATCGCAATATTACTCGTGTTACTACTAGTATCATTGTTGTTGGTATTACGCGTGTTATGCTGATGATGAGTAGTAATCGTATACGTAGTAATGTTATTATGTGTTGTTATTGTTATTATTAGTATTGCTATGATGGGTGTTCGTATGATTACTCATGTCCTAGTTCGTACGCGTGGTCTTAGTAGCATTAATACTATTCTTTTTTAGTGAACAGATTACTCGTTTTGCCATTATCAATATGATTTGCATGATTCGTGTTATGATTCACGTTCTTCATACAAGCTGCAATTGTCTCATTCGTACTATGCGTACGATCCGTATTCACATTCGCCGAATTCGCGTTCGGACTCTTGTTCGTCCTACCAGCAGCGAGAATACAAATATTAGTTATAGTCTTCGAATGATTATGTACATATTGGTATTACTGGTACAAGGAGTATTTGTCCATATCGTGCTGGTACCTGCAATGCTAGCTCTGCCCATGCTGTACATCCCATTGTCGCTGTGCCGCTTAACTGCCCCATCTGTAGCAGTTCTCGGTGGCCCAATCTCGACCAGCTTCAGAAGCACATCCGAGACGAGCACTTACCACCGTGTCCTGCTGCCCGCGATGTCGAGTGCCGCCCCCTCCTGGGCACTCAAGCGTTCAGCCGAAGGTCCTCCTGCCGAATCGCAAGCTGCCAAAGAAAAGAAAACGAAGGACGAAAAGGAGAAGGGCAACGGAGGAAAAGGATCCAAGCCCCGTCGAGACCGCAAGGATCGCAACAAGCACCTCGGCAGCCTTCGAGAAGCAGGATTCAATCGCAAGCAAGAAGCCATCCTGTCCGTCTTGATCAAACAAGCCCTGGTTTGCAGCCAAGCCGTCAGGGATCTGTGGGCGGTCGGGGTAGACACGTTCTTCGTGGAGGCCAAGTCGCCCGAGGTCGAGGAAGCGCTCGAGTCAGGCCGCCAGTACTCAGCCGCAGTCAAGGAGCAGGGTCGCGGCCACCAGCTAGGTCCTCCTCACCTGCATATCTTCAATGGGTTCGTGAACGCACTATTGAAGCGTGGGAGCGCGCTGGGGCAACTCACCTTCGAGGAACTCAAGAAGTGGTACGAGGAGTTTCTAGTCAAAGCAGGGCTGGAGGAACTGTGGACTCAGATCCGCCTCTTCCGCCTCACCAAGTGCTACGACCAGAACAAGAAGAAGCTGCACATCGCGATCGCCAACGTGGACCTGACGACGATGCAACAAGACGGCTCTGGCGCGCCTTCTCTGCCTTCGGGCACGCGTTTGCGCCACCTGCTGGGCCTCGCCCTCGGCCAGACAGGAGCCAAGCGAGCTATCGGAGCCGCCCCCCCAGGGGCCATGGAGGAGATGATTCAGAATACCCTCGGAGATGAATGATGACGCCATCGTGGTTGGCTTCGCGGCCGCTGGGCTCGGCGCCGCGGCGCTGCGTCGAGGGGGTTCCCTCTGGCGGCGCCCGCGGCGCCGAGCCTCGGGGCCCGAGCGTTGGCTACGTTGAGCCGTATTCTTTACTCTGGTTCTTCGATTGATTTCGACACTGCCGAT